GCCTTAATGTGTCTTTAGCAAAAATTAATATAAGACTGGGTCTTGTTTTTGGAGAAACACTGGTAGGAGATTGTGAATTCTCGTTCTGGCTTAGGCATGAAAGCCAGATGGGTGACTTTGGAAATGAGGAAAGCCAATTTTGCAAACCGAAGGTCTTTCTGTAGCAAATGATCTTTTTTTTTTCTATTTCCAAATGGTAAGACAAACACACACACAACATGAACTGAAAGTATGAGGAAGGAGGACCAACTGTTTATTTTATGTTCCTGTTGCATGGAGTAGTTATTGGTTTCTCTGGGACTGGTAGTAGCTCAGCTAAAGAGCAGGAGGGGTGGTGGATGCCACTGATGGAAGGAGATAATAATTGTCATTTCACCTGACAATTGCTGATTGTCTCACTGGTCAATTGAAAGAGCACCGATCGTCTCCTGAAAACCTCTACAAATAATATTGTGAGAATAGCAGAAATGATGATGAAAGTATTGGCTTTAAACAGCTTTGAGCATCAGGCTGAGGATAAAAACAGTGATAACATGAAATTGCCCTTAGATACATAGATGGCTGACCTGCATAATTTGTGGTCTACAAAGCCAGATGAGGTATGTCAATCATATTATACGGCCAAATAGATGGTAAGCAACTCCCATTTTTGCCACCTCAGCAGCAAAATCAGGAAGTGTATCTTGGCTCTCAGCAATGTTTTGGTTTATTTAAAATACATTTTCTCCTATTGTTTAGAATATAGATAGTTCTAAGGCATCTTACAAGAAAAATCCAAGAATCACAAGAAAACAGAGCTTAAAAGTAGAAAAAAAATATTTTTTCCCCAAAGCAGTGGACTGGTTTCGATCCTATGTGTGAGTAGAAATAGCAGAGGAGAGGATGAAGAACAGGCTCACAAATTCTTTTCATGAACTTCCCTTTCTTTATCATTACTAAAACATATGAAGTATTAAGAATATATAATCTTTACATTAAAAAAATCAGGGATGAAGCAACATTTTTTGTAATTTTTTTTCAGCAACCAAGGGCCACAGTGGCCCAGTCTAAAATTTTGGGGAAATGTTTTGTATATTGTGAGAACAGGTGCAAGAATTCTTTTTCAAATTATCAATTTAAATGACTGAAGACCAGGCAATTTTTTATGCATCATATTTCTTTTTTTTTCCAGTAGAAAACTGGCAGGAAATTATATGTCCAGTGTTGCTCAATTTACTGCCCAATTGCAGCAGCATGATCTGAGGATTGTCAGGGGCCCATAAAAAGTACTTTAAAAAGTGAATGAAAAATTGATATACTGATAAATAGGACTGACTTTCTGGCCAAAAATGGATGGAGGAAAATCTACTATGAAGATTTTCTTATCACAGTTTCTCCACATCTGGTGAAAAAAAAACAATTTGAAATGTCTTTTAATTTACTAAATTTGACAGGGCCAATAATTAGGAATTTTAAAAACCCTGAATAGTCCAATATCTTTTATTCTAAGTTTGCTCTGTCTATGTTGACTTCATTTTTAGGAAACAGAATGATGTCTCACATCACAAGACACACTAGTAATCTCTCTGCACACACTGCCATTGAACTAGTGAAGCCTCTTAGATTTTCAGGTTAAAAACGGTCTTATGGAAATGCAATTTTTGAATTTTGATGCATACAGTATTTTCAATGAATGAGAACAATTCAAACTGAAAACTGCTGGCTTTCTGTTACTGTTTAATTATTATGTAGAGAGATGCAGTATGTATTTGTGGATATTTCAACATTTTCATTTTCAATATATTTATGTATTTCACTATTTCATTCTTATTAATTTGATCATTAAGTATTGTGTTATATTTACCCTATCTATTTCTATATATAGTACACTTTTTACCTAGCAGTAAATTCCAATAAATTAATTGGTGAAAACATACTACATTGTATAAGACTGCACTTTTTATTTTTGCTTAATGTCTCAGTTCATTAACTTTTTGTTTATTTTTCTGGATAACAATTTCTTGGAATAAAGTAGCTTGTGCACAGTTGAAATATTTCTGTCTTCTTCATCTTGTTCCTCTCCATGTTGGACTGTTCTAGTCATGTTAGATAGAAAATAGTGGAACTTATAATCCAAAACATCTCTAAACATTAGGTTCCAAAAAACTAACTAATGAGATACAAGCATTTCTGTGTGTGTGTGGGGGGGGGGAATTGCAACAAAACATGTTATGTAATTTGGTATTTTTTTTCTGCTTAATTTCATTTGTAATATAATAAACCTTTATATTAAGATAGTCTAGACCAGTGGTTCTCAACCTTTTTAATGCTGCGACCCCCAACCGGTCGTAAGTCAAGGACTACCCAACCGGTCATAAGTCGAGGACTACCCAACCGGTTGTAAGTTCAGGACTTTCCTTGCCCGGGAGCGCCGCGCATGCGTGGTGCCGCCCCCTGCGCTGGCCGAGGCGTAGCTGGCAAGTGGCAGAGACGGCGCAGGCCGACCACTGGCTGGGCCACCAGCCCAAGGGAGGTAAGACACCCGCCGGGCCCCACGCGTGCCAGCAACCCTCCCTGCGCCCGCCAGCCTCCCACCTCCCACCCCTGGGCCTCTTTTACTTACACTTTTAGTAGTTGCTCAGCAGGGAGGGGTGGAAACTTCCAGACAGCTCGCCTTCGCTGCAGATAACTTGCAGCACCGTTTACAGAATGGGACTTTTGGCGGGCTCAGCAGGGCAGAGACAGCCTGGACAATTCCTATTGGCATTTGAAAGCCAATAGAATTAGACTCTATTCAAGAGAGTCTATTCTATTGGCTTTCAAAAGCCAATAGAATAAAAGGGAATAGCACAGCTAAGGAAAAGGGGAAAAAATGGCGGACTGCGTTGTTTGGCGACCCCCGTGAAATGGTCGTTTGACCCCAAATGGGGTCCCAATCCACAGGTTGAGAACCACTGGTCTAGACTCAAACATCTGAAAACAATGCTCTTTGAACTAGAATTCTTGCGTCTTATTTCCTGATGTATAGTAATCCTTTTTATATACTCTTTGGTACTAAGAAATATGCTTCATATGTACTCAAAAATATTTCTATCTGTTTTATGACTTAAGATCAGCATAAGCAGTACAGTGCTGTACCTGACTTGTACGTGCAACAGCCAATTGTTAAATTTGCAAGCCAGATGAGAGAAGACCTGAGCCATCACACCTAGTGCACCACTCAGTTGTCTAATGGCTAGCAGCATCACACAGTGGCAACAATGGAGCTGGCAGAGTCAGTGTTAAACATTTACTAGAAACCACTGAACATAGGAACCAACTGGAGTTAAGTCAATGAACCCAGCTTGTTAAATTTTTTACTACAAAACCTGTGAAACTGAATGTCCACACTTTCTGCTCAAGTTCCTTTGCCCATGCGGTAAACAATGCAGGATCACATTACCAAGAATTTTTTTAATATAATAACCGTCCTTTATAGATCATTATCCTATGCAGCCAATATGGTGGGCATAATGAGTTTCTAGTGTGTGTGAGAGAAAGTAAAAGTGTACTTCAGGCCTACACTAACCATCCATTCTCAATATACAAGCTACATTGGGAGGGGGGAAGGTCTGATAAGCTTTACTTTGTTAATCTTTTTTCATATTTTAAATAAGAAATAAGTTGTGGTCAGAAAGATTAGCAAGGGGCAACATGACAAATTATATATAAAGGAGAAATATGTCTGACATGAGTCTGAAAATTACACATACAACTCTGTGTCATTCTTTTGATCTTTCCAATCTTAATGGGCAGAGACTTGATGAGAAACCCAAAAGCGTCCTGTTCTCCCTAGACCCTTCCAGTCTGAAAAGAAAGAAACCACAGTCAACTGGGAAGTAACCCAGTGAAGAAGAGACAGAGACTCCAAAGGAAGGGCTCAGCTTGAATTAAACCGATAGAGTTTTTTCTTTTTTTCCTCCTTTGGTAAGAAAAATCAACTTTTCCATCTTACCTTCTAAAACTCAAGAAAATAAGATTGTATTAAAATACCAAATTACAATTGGCAAAGAAAGTATTGAGATTATACCTCAGTCTAAGAACACTCACAAACTGAGGAGAGGGACAATACAGTTATATACTATTCCGATAGTAGACCTGTTTGGATAATATGCACATATACGTATGTGCAAACATGCACCTGCACACATATAGAAGTGCATGTGCATGAGATCCTGGATACTTAATAGGATTATTGACTTAACTGATTGAAACTGGGATTTTTGTGTGTGTGTGTGTGTGGAGTGGTGGTGGGGGGGAAGAATTAACTTCCTCCAGTCCTGGGTTCTCCATTTGTCTTAGACAACTTGCATAAGTTCCCCACCAGCATCAGGGATTGGATTGGGAAAGACAAGATTATGACTGTCCACTGACTCAATTATACATGATCAATAACTACATGAACAATAACAAGTAGAATCACATGGGACTACCCTCATGGAGGTTAATATTTGTATATGCATTTGAAACTTGGCAAAGTAATACTTTACCTTTAATGCACAATATTTTTAAATTTCAGTAATCCCCTCTTCTAGTAAAGATATGAGAGCATTCATACAATATGCTAAACAACTTTAAAAGGTTTCCAGGACCATGTATGCCACTATTTTATCCCAGTGCCACAAGATTCTTTAACTGTGTTGAGTAGATTAATTTAGTGACTTATCCAAGTTCAGAACAATCACCATTTCTAGTTGGTTTCACATTCTGGTTTATGCTATCCAGAAATGGTAGTTGCTTTAGGTTCTGATAAGATGTTTAGCCTTAAGGATGCCCTGGACATGGTTAAAAAGATACATATAAGTATATCTTGGGAGGGTCAGATGGCAATACACACTGATTAGGTTAAGCCTCCATAGCCTCTTACTTACATATAGAATCTACTCCCAATAAATAGCATGCAGCATGTCTCAACAAGTCCTATAAGATGGAAATGAAAATAACCTCAAGGGCAATGGGATGATCAATTCTCCAGACTATACCTCAAGATTTGCCCTGGCTCCTTGGCTATCTTTCTCTTCATCCTCCATATTAATACTGTTGAAAGGCTTAGTGGTTCATGATACAATGGAAAGTAAAAGAAATGGGGATGGTGATTGAATCATCAGTTGGGTCATCCCAGTGCCCACTAGAGGAAAAAACAAAGTGACCCAACTCTGCTTTGATATGACCCAGGGAGGGAGACTGGCTGTATGCAAAGACATTAGTATCAATGGATTCAGCAGCCAAATTTGCCACATGGAGAAATCCAGGGGGCTGGGAGTCAGTAAGCTTCTTTCCAGCCTCAGTCTGAGTAGATTATGAAACCTGAAAAGGTACTGTATTTGTTGTTGTTTCCTCCGTGGGCTTTGCCTCCATCAAGCTTGATGAAAACTTCATCCCCGGCATCCAGGTGCAGGATAACACTGTTGCTAGCATAGTCGTAGTTTTGATCAGCATCCTGTGCAATGGCACTGGCCCGCACCTAGGAGAGGAAAGTCCATAGGGAGGTTGGAGGGAAGGCAGAGGAAGAGAGGGAGGGGAGAGAGAGAGAGAGGGAGGGGAGAGAGAGAGAGAGAGAGAGAGAGAGAGAGAGAGAGAGAGAGAGAGAGGAAGCAAAAGGTGAAATGATAGCAGCAATGAAAGTTCTCAAAGCCAATATGCAAGAAAGGGCCAGGATGTAGAAATACTGAAGGAGTGCACCTCTGTTGCATCTTTCCTATTTAATTTTTGGCTTCCAAAACAGCTCACTTTAATTCCCTTTAATAAGGGGAAAGTAGAAATAGGGTAACCACTGCAAATGGCCAGCTTGATGTCTGATTTGGGGATATAAAATTTCATAAATTTCATCAAGGTAGAAACTTATGTAACAATCATTAAGTATAAATAAATAGCAATTTTGGTTGCCAATTAGCATGCCCCCAAAGTAGTATTTGGAGGCTTCTAAGCAAATGAAGAATATGGATGAGACCTGTACTAGGGCTGGTATCTGTGAAAGTCTCCTTTCCCAACTAGGCTCTAGAGAACCTCTTTGCTCTGCTTTGCTCTGGTCATCCTTCAGTTTGGGAGTACAGTACAAACAGCAATATGCAGTTGCTTGTCTTCCAGAACTGTAGGCTGGGGGGAGGGGTACCAGAATGGCAGGGGTGGAGTGGTGCTGTTGCTATTATTACCACAACTTGCCCTAGATCAGTGGTTCTCAACCTTTTTAATGCCGCGACTACTCAACCAGTCGTAAGTCGAGGACTACTCAACTGGTGCAGCACCGTTTGCAGAATGGGACTTTTGGCGGGCTCAGCAGGGCAGAGACAGCCTGGACAATTCCTATTGGCTTTTGAAAAGCCAATAGAATTAGACTCTATTCAAGAGAGTCTATTCTATTGGCTTTCAAAAGCCAATAGAATAAAAGGGAGTAGCACAGCTAAGGAAAAGGGGGGAAAAATGGCGGACTGCATTGTTTGGTGACCCCCGTGAAATAGTCGTTCGACCCCAAATGGGGTCCCGACCCACAGGTTGAGAACCACTGCCCTAGATGAAAAAGTGGGGATCTGCAGAAAGAAGGAGATTACATTAATTTTAGACATTAAATTTCTTGATCCTGAAGAACTCCAAACCTTGGCAACATCTCTTTATTGGCTGTATACAGGGAAGAACTGGCTCAGCTTGAGCAGGGGGCTGGACTAGAAGACCTCCAACGTCCCTTCCAGCTCTATTCTATTCTATTCTATTCTATTCTATTCTATTCTATTCTATTCTATTCTTTGCAAGGGCTTCCATTAAGCTTTATGGGAAAAATAGATAACTGTATATGTTTGGAACCACTATTCCAATCAGGAAACTGGGGTAATTAGAAGTGAGATTAAGGTCTTGAAGGCATCCTTTTGCATTTATATATTTTAAAAGCCATCTAATTCCATAAAAGAAACAGGTAAAAGTAACAGCAAAATTAGACTTTTATTCCGACAATGATCAATTTAGACTTGAGTGGCAGAAAATTTAATGCACCAGTTTATTTAGCAATCTGGTTCTACCTCAAAACTGGATAGTCTGATCTTCATCTAGAGGCAACCTGAATAAATATTTGTAGGCAAGCACATGTATGTATATGCAAATACACAAATATGCAAATATATGTATCATAATATATGAGTATCAGCCATCCTTAAAATATATAGCCCTCCTCCCTCTACACCTCCTTTATTAGTCTACCGGGGGAGAGAGGGTTATGAAATAAATATATAACAAATATATGTTGGTTCAAACTGTTGCATGGGATCAAAAAAAAAATAGGTGAAATTATGTAAATGCTTTGTTTTGTGAGACCATAGCCTGTATATTATTTGCATGGGGTTTCTTTTTTGGTTCATATTTTTCTGCCTCATGTTCCCCCAAAGTAAGAGAGAGCAGGAATAACAGATGAAACAAATATATCTCTGAGTTGTTATATCTTGCTTCTAAATATTTCCTAGAGGCTCTTTGAGATATTTAGAATGAGCCCACCTCCTCAAAAAAGACCCAAAAGCAATCATTTTATTTTCACAACAAGCAACTCTTATTACCCTAATCATCTTGTTAGTCAGGCACAGATCAAGCTCTCTGGGCTGACCTCATTGGTTCTCACCCCTAGCCTGTAACCAAGAAAGACAGGATTCAACACACACACACACACACACACACACACACACACACACTTACACACCTACGACCAAATACAAAGAAGCAGTTGTAGAAAGGCATTCATTTTTCACAGGTTTTACTTTAATTACAATTGAATATAGATCTGTTTTATGGCGGAAGTGGGAATATTTTCCAAATTTAATGCAATTTAATACAATACCCTTTTAATTACAACCAGAAACTGGAAGGAACTAGACAATTTACTATGCATTCCTTATAAAATTACAAAGTTGGATATATCTGGAAATATATGTAGGATCCCTTTAATATCCATTGTGCCAGGAGACTTATTAGCCACAGGAACAAAGGGGATAAGATCACAGAGGTTAAAAATACTGTAACAACAGAACAGCCATTGCTGACATTTGTAGTTTCTGTGAAACCATTAAAATATTATTTCTTTCTTCTGACTCCAAGAGAGGAGATAATTAAGTCAGTGATTGTACTGCAGGCTGTGGAACATGCTCAGAATTATAGTCTCTCCAAATTTTCAAAGCTTAACATTTTAGCTTTTCTCTAATTAACAAAATTGTATTTCCTGTGAATAGAGGAACAAACTTTAAAATTGTTTGTTTTTAAAAACAGAAAACAAACTTTCATAGATGGGTTTCAAATTTTCAGTATGGCCATATGAGCCAATTATTTTTGTTATAGTCTCCGTATCTTCTGAACATTTTTCATCATGAAGATGTGATTGTAGAAAAGTCAGAGTCACACAAAAACTTTACCAGATATCTATATTAGGACCAAAAAGTTATCCTTCACTTTGGTAAATGAAATTAAATTAAATTAATCCATTTTTTAAATTGATTTTTTTTCTCGTCCAAAAGTATGAATCTTAGCTGAGGGGAATTCCAGAATAATGCAAATCCAGAGTATTCAAATATCTATAATGATAGTGTTTACAATGCTGTTGTGATGGATACATATAATAAACATTATTATTATGTGGGGAAAATACAATAGTTAACCCTGTGATTTCTCTTGCAGAGCCTGCAGGGTTTCAGTGGAGCAGAAAAGTAAAGATGTTATAATAGATAGCAAGATTCTCTGAAGGTCCACCACTGAATACATTCAACATGCAACAGTGCCAACAGCAGCATGTTTATAAATATTTGTTGAGATAATTTGTATCATCTTGATAACATGCCACAATGGGGTAGTTATCAAGATGTAGAAAGATCCAGGCTCAGATAAATCTACCTTTAGCTGCTGATTCTCACTAGTTGATATTGGAACAGTCACCCTATCTCAGCCTAACTTAACTTTCCAAGTTGATGTGTGGAGAAAAATGGAAGGAAGGAACACTTATGCACTCTGCCTTATACTTACAACAGGAAAGAAGACCCATATCTAGCAAATAAATAAATAATGGAATGAGCCATGGTGCCACAAATGATTAGAATGCAGTATTGCAGGCTAACTCACTGCTCACTGCCAGGAATTCGATCGTGACTGGCTCAAGTCTTCCATTTTTCTGAGATTGGTAAAATGGGGACCCAGATTGTTGGGGGCAATATGCTGACTCTGTAAACCACTTAGAGAGGGCTGTAAAGCACTATGAAATGGCATATAAGTCTAAGTGTATTACTATTGTTAACCTAACATTACCAAAACAGTTCATTTAAGCCCATTTACTATGCACGGATGCTATGGATGACCACATCATTATTCATCATGTATCGTACAGTAGAGTTGAAATGAATAAAATGGGTATGAACTGTTTAGACTTTGCTATGAAAAGCAAGGAAACTACTTATGTGATATGAATTTGATTCCAGGGCCTGATAGGGATAGAAATAAGGATGCTTTGGTACAAAGAAGGAAGATGGGGGCTTCTTACCAAACAAAGTAAAGCCTGAAAGGAAATCATGGAATTAGAATACTTCTAAAAGGAAGGAGAGGCTATTCTATGGGGTAGAAAGGAAGAAACAAAACTTTGCGCTTGTGAAAAATGAATAAAAGTTATGAGTGCGAAGTGACAGGTTCTCCACCACACACAGACTCAGTTTATGACTAGAGAAAAGTAAGAAAGCAAGTAAGACAGAGAAGCAGGAGGTAACTCTGATTAGTTAGGGAAAATCAAGACCAAAGGGATGAGAAGCACCAGGGTCAACTGGGAATGGACTGTGTCCAGCTGAGCTGCAGAGCAAGGTGAGCTGACTGGATCTGAGAAAGCTGGCAAAGAGGAAGTGCAAGAGGAATCAAACACACACAAGGCCAGGAGAAGGGGAGGGAGAAACTGCTCTGTGAGATGTCGTGCAAAGCAACTACAAGTGGTCCTTGACTTATGATTATAATTAAGCCCCAAATTTCCATCGTAGATTGTGATGGTTGTAAGTCAAGGCACCCATGTAACCAGCCCAATTTTCTGACCCTTTTTTTGACAGTTGTTAAGTAAACACCACAGTCATTAAGCAAGTCAATGCATTCCTATGGGCATTTTCAAAAGGCTGGTTTCTGGCAAATAATAATAAATTGTGTCATGTGACCACACAGCGCTGCAATTGACCATAAAGGCAAGCCAGTTGTCAAGTACTTGAAATGTCATGATCTTGGGTATGGTTGCTGCCATCAGATCTCCAAAACCAGGTTGCAAATACATTTTTAGGGGATGCCCATTGTAACTTTGAATGGTTGCTAAGCAATCGGTTGTTAAGTGAGGGCTACCTGTAAAGCTGTGAACAAAGTTATTGGGGGCAGAGAGGGAGAACTGGGTTGTGTGAATATATATTGTGCTTCTACCAGATTATGCATTCCCTATAAGAATTGCTTAGGTCTGAGGGATGCATTCCAACTGAGTTCTCT